ACCCTGCAGTTTGCAGCGCTCGTTCTGCACTACTGTGCTCCAAACACTTGTGAAATTCCTTTCAGCAAGTAACTAATCATAATGAAGGATCTATATTGGGAGAAATTTCAAACCTAGAGCTCCCCTTTAATTATTTCTACTGTAGCTTCACTAAGCCAGGACTTGAGATAATTTGTACACAAATGCACGGACACGAGTGGAAGACTTAAAACCATTCACTATCATAAACACCATCAGTCAAGCATTCCATCATAATTATTAAAAAATAAATATTTTCTGACTTACCACTCTTGATTTTAACATGCACTGTTTTGGCATCAAATACTGGTATCAAATTTACACCACTTATTTTCAACAGTCTATTGACTTCAAGCTAAAAAAGAGTTAATTATCATTATCATATTAGAAATATGAACTAATTGCTGCAAGTATCTTGTATTGGGACATTTGTTTTTTTAATATAGGTAATAAAAGCACACAAAAAATCCAACTGATAACTAAATTAGGCCAAATTCCATGAAGAAAGAAGTCAAACACAAAAAATCAAGCAAACAGAAGTATGCTGTCATACCAGTGAATCGGACTATCATGCTTGAGAGATTTGTTGACCCCGTGAGAGGCAATCGTGGCTTTGGATGGATTTTACATTTTCTTATTTTCCGATAAAACTACCCAACCAATCATACTAAGTTTTATATCAGCTTCAAGTTTATTATATTCCCTCTACGAATCCACTTGGGGGCCAATTCTGTGAGTGAGGGAGTAAGAAATGAGCGGAGCTCGGAACAGCCAAAAACTTCAAATTTCTTGAAATTCCCCATCTACTAAATCGGCGTGAGGAGCTGTTATAAATCGGCGTATTCCGACAAAACTGTAATCATAATCCGCTTGGGCCATTAACAAGAAAATCATAGATTTTGTACCAAAAATGTACTTTTTTGAAAAAAAAATCCAGTTTTCTCCAATGGTTAAGGCAACCTTGGAGAGCAAATGATACAATGTTTCCTTCCATATGATAAATATACATTTTTTATACTTTCTGAAACATTAAGCAGCATTAATACATAGATCAATCTGATGTTTAAAGCAAACACAATGTTCAATGAATGACTAAGGTGTAACAAAGCTGTCTTTCCTTGACTTGGGACCCAATGGTTTAATGTCATGTTCATCACAAATTTCAATCAAGTCTTTAATTTTAAACTGACTTTTTATCTTGTGTGTTGTCTATACATAATTGAGTGGCTAATATTTCACTGTCCAAAGAGAATATCACGGATTTCTAAATGGTCTGTTTCATTATCAAAACAAAACATGTTAGGGAAAATAAGTAAATTACCATTCTAAATATTAAATTATTGATTTTTTGGGAAAAATTACAACCCTTTGATAAAAAATATAAATAAAGAACGTTAAATGAATAAAAGGTGTTTTTTTTTTCGATCCCGACCTCATACAAATTTCCAGCCATCAAAAATGGCGATTTTGAAAGAACAATGATTCTCTAATAATACCTGTACTGATCAGGTGATAAATCAAAACAGGTTATCATTCTTGTTTTTTTTCACATCATATTTGTAGTAAACAAACACATGGAAACTGATTTAAGAGTTCATTTCACAAGTTTTACTAAACACCCCTATGTCATAATAGAATAACCCTTCATGAATCATGGGAAATTGAATAATTTACATATAAATATGGTACATTGACAATGTTTATTAAATCTACATCATACTGTTAGTACGTAAACCTTTTACGCACCCAATCAAGATTTGTGTTTTTTCCAATTTTCAAAAAATGCCACATTTTGCTGGAGGGTATTTGAAATAGACAAAATATCTCCATGATTTTTGTTTTTGTTTACAAATAACCTATAATCGAACTTTATTTGTAGAAAGAATTAGACGTGTAGAGATTGTGGGATTCTGGCAATCTATTTTTAAAAATTGGGAAAATATTGTATTTTGCACAATTTTTCAAAAGTGCAAAATAGGGCAAATTCTTCCCTGAAAAATGGAATGACCCAATGCTTCTTTTTGTTTCGTTTGTTTTTGTTTTCAAAGAAAATTGACAATGTTTATTAAATCTACATCATATATTCTGTTAGTATGTAAACCTTTTACGCACCCAATCAAGATTTGTATTTTTTCCAATTTTCCAAAAATGCCACCTTTTGCTGGAGGGTATCTGAAATGGAGAAAAAGTCTCCGTGATTTTTGTTTTTGTTTACAAATAACCTATAATCGAACTTTATTTGTAGAAAGAATTAGACGTGTAGAGGTTGTGGGATTCTGGCAATCTATTTTTACAAATTGGGAAATTACTGTATTTTGCACTATTTTTCCAAAGTGAAAAATAGGGCAAATTTTTCCCTGAAAAATGGAAAGACAAATATATTGCCTTTACATATGTATACTATAAATTCAAACTAAAGTTGTTTTCCTTATCTTTGCCTCTCCTGAACATGTCATATATTTAAGTTTTCACCACTTGAAAAAGTGGCATCCGGGTCTATATTTTAAAGGGGGGGGGGTGCGGTATTTCACAGCAGGGGGTCGAGGAAAATTTTAAATGTTATGTATAGTAATCATACACTGGCCTAATTAAAACCTCAAAATATAAGCAAAATTTGCCGACCCTCATTCTCCCACACCTGCCTGGTTTTCTCAGACAGGCCATCTTAATACTTTATTGTCAGCCAGCTAAAATTACTGTACATCATTTAAAACTAAAAATACACTTAAAAAGGAAAAGAGATTTTTGAGATTTTACAATTAAATATAAAAATTACGGCAAAAAACTATATGTAAATGTAAAAATGTAAATAACTTGCACAAAAAACACTTACAATCAGTAAAGAAAAACCATAAAATGCATTTTAGAGGATACAAAAGCCTACCTGGTGGTGATATAACAAAGCTTTCAGTGTCGGAAACAACAGATTCTTGATCAATCTTCTTACTATCTGTAAAATGAATTTAAGATTGAAACTAGGACAGAGTAGTGATTTCATTGAAATAGCTCTAAAAAGTAAAATACAATGATACAGTTTGTCCTTTCAGTTATGAACAAGAATACCTAGCAAAATATTACATCACAAAAGGTTACGTTGCATAGGGCCTAGGACCCAAAAACGAAAAGCCCTGTTGCTTTTCTCTTTTAGTCACTTTGTTTTTGTTTTAAAGGCACCTTTATTGCATATATTTAAAAAACACATGTATCTCAGGCTAACAAAAAATGGTTTTGAAACCACACATAAAAATCCACCTCGAAATTCATAATTCAATAACATTTTTTTTCTATTGTAAAATGTTAATATGTTTTAAAAAGTGCACTTGACATTTACAAAAGCCTAACCTGGTGGTTGTATAGAATCATTGACTGGTGCTTGGTCAACATTTTCACTATCTGTAAAATCAATTTATGGATAAAATTAACACAGGTAGTGACTTACTGAAACAAAGTTTAGGTTACAAACATTTAGGTTACGTAATGATGAAGAATAAAGAATGCACAAAAAAAACCAAATATAAAACAAACTACTAACATTTATAACATGAGTTTACAAAGTAATAAAGAATATAATTAATAATGAAATATGAACAGTGTGAAGATTTCATCAAAATGTGGTAATTTGTTCATTTAAAATTTAGATGAGTTGTGCTAAATGAAAACAAAAAAAAAAGAAGACAAATAAATAACATTTTAAATATGTATTTATTAAAACAATAAAGGTGTAATTGAGAAGATAACCGCCTCACCTCGGGGTGATCTAGCAAAGGTATCAATGTCTACAGATTCTTCATCAATCTTCTCGCCATCTGTTGACAAATGAATTTACGGATAAAATTAGGAGAGTGTAGCAATTTCATTGAAACAAATTTTGTAATATATTCTGTGAAATCTTTATGCAATGTAATATATGAAGACCAAAAAACCAATTAACTCTTAAATCTCAGTAACAAACAAAATACATTAATTATAGAATCATTATAATATTTAAATAAACCTAAACAAATAAAACAATGATTTAAACAAATGTTATTATATATTTCCTAAACTTAATATTCAATGGAAAGTGGAATTTCTTTTCTCAGGTCAAACAATTTTAATCTAGTACAGTATATCATTCTAACAGGAACCTGGAAATAAGACTTTCCGATTAATTTAAAAACAGCTACAGAAATGTAGCTATAAAATATTTCAATGTGAATGCTGTAACATACTGTATTAGTTATTTAATTAAAATCAGAAACACTAATTAGACAAAAACAAAATAAGGTTTTTTTCCATGGCGTGCCACCAATTTCGCCAACTGAAGGCTTCAGAAATTTAATCTGTTAATATTTAGGCTGAATGAAAACAAAATAATACAAACAAACTACTGGTACTTTAAAATGTCAGTATATTGTACATCAGTAAAGTAAATAAGTTGTACATACCATCAAAGAGTATAAATAGAACAAGAGAGCCAACAACGCTCATTGGGAGCGTAAAAAAACGATACGCTCTACGCAGCTAGTGTAGGACGCCAACTAACGCTTGTATATGTTTTATTACCCAGTACTGCACC